AGGAAATATAATATCTGGTATAATTCTAGGATAATGAGTTGGCAATTCTAGCTTGTCTCAAAGGCTCTCTCTATTGAAGAAGCTAAGGGCCTTCTCAGACAACTGAGGCCATTACTTCTCTTGCCTTAAGAGCTTCCTATATATTCAGTTACTCTGAGAATCACATCTGAATAATTGAATTCTTGAGTACACATAGTCAGCATGCACAACCTACCCTGCTTGAAGCTCTCTATGGCTTAGCAGAAGAGCAATAAAGCAGGTCATGGATGGGTAAGGACAAGCAGGCTTAAACAGAAAGCTGTTGAGATGCATCCCTCTTCTTCCACTCCCTTTGAGGATTAAGGTGCAAAGCACACAAGCATTGTGTTATTTGGTAAGAAAGGGAAAATACGTCAATAGTGCTCACCCATGTTGTTCCTCAGATGTTCAAATCATACTTCCCCACAGTCCCCACGTGCAAGAAAAACTGACTCATAAAATCAGTGACATCCTAAGAAAATTTTACAAAGGGTCAAATGTGGTATGAAATTCAGATTAAGAAAAAGCATGATTAAAGCATGGTAAGGCATTATAAAATTGTCATTTAGACAAACAATGAAAGGCAAATTTTGACCTTTTCCAGCATTTGAATTATGCTAAGTCTTTACAAGTTCAAAGTTAAGAACTGGAACTAACATTGGCTATAGGTTATGTTGGGTTAAGATTGCGTACTCCTGGAATCATTCCTATTTATAAAATGGTTAAAGTATCATCCTTTGCTGCTGAGCCAAGAAAGTCAGTCAAAATTTAAACTCTAGACCCACATAGATCTATAACCAAAGAAACACATGAGACTGACACCTCTAGTGTTGATCAAAAATATTAAGTAAAGCATAAAGTAATATCTAACTTTAAGGGTATAGGATTCCCAGAGAAAGGAGCTTCATAGTGGGATTCATAACCCACTATAATAAGAGTAGCAACATAAACATAGGTACATGTACAGGCACACTCTAAAAAGAAGATCCAAATTGATACTTTTAAAAAGAATCTCACCCCACACAAAGTCTTGATTAGAAAAAAATAATCTTTGGCAAGGGCTGACCAAAAAATATTTTGAATATAGCTTCCTCTCTTTCCAAGCCTCATCTCATGACTGAAAATTAAAATGGTGAGTTCCTTCTTTTCTAAAATTCTCTTGTTGAATCCTTTTCCTTCACCCCCATGGCACAGAGGAAGTGACATCTGCTTGAATACTTCTAGGGATGAGTAGCTCCTTACTTCATTAGATAGTGGTTCTTTTTGAATGGCACTTAGGTACTAACGTTCAGAAATTTCTTCATTATAATTGCTAAAAAGTGATTCCTTCTATTGAACTGAAATCTGTCTACCTGTAACTTACACACACTTGTCCCAGTTGTGCCCACTGTGTCCAAGTAGATTGTCTACTCCCTATTCCATAAGAATGTTCACCAAATACTTTAAAATAATGACCATCTCTCTCACCCCTTGTCTTCTCCAGTCCCTTCAAATGATTTTCGTATGATATAATTTCAATAATTATTTTTAGTCTAGACACATGATTTCATGGGTAGAGAGAAGTAACATAGACAGCTGCTTTGCAGTTTATAGACTTATTGAGATAACAGAGATAGTATCTCAATCAATCAACAAGTATTTACTAAGCACCCACTAAGTGCCAGGTTCTGTGCTAACAGATGGGGGATACAAAGACTAAAGTGAAACAGTCCCTGTCCTCCAGGAAACAACATGGACATACACTATATAAGTATGTAGGAAATACACACACATGCTTATATGCATGTAAGTGTGTGTGTGTGTAGATATATGTGTACACATAAATAGTTTGTGTGTGCATACATATACATACATGTGAATGTATTATGTATATGTGTGCATATATATATATATACACACACACACACACACAGAAACACATACATACACACACACATAAATTTGGGGAAAGGGATTAGTAGCAGGATGGTTTGGGAAAGACCTCATGTTTAAGGGGATGCTTTAGCTGGATCTTGAAGGAAACTAAGGATTTTTAGAAGCAGAAATGAGGAAGGAGGCATTCTAGGCATGGTGGTCAGGAAGGTGTCCTGAGAGGAGCGCAAACCTCATCTTCTTGACTAAAGGTGGTATCATCTCTGCTAAAGTGCTTCCTTTTTCTTAAGAATAATAATCATGATTGATAGATGACTTAACTAGCTTAACTATCCATACCTTATCTCATTTAATCCTTACCACAACCCTCAAAGAGGTATGACTATTATCTCCACTTTATATATGAATAATCTTAAAAGTTAAGTGACTTGTCCAATGACTTGGTTATTAAGTCCCCTCCCTATAATGGCTGTTTTCTCCTCTGGTGGAAGTCTAGTGTCTCTCTTAAAATGTGGCTCATATGTACTGTTAGTTATCTTTTTCTACATATTTATAAATATATATATGTATATATATATATATACACACACACATGTATTTTATATTATGTGTGTGTATATATAGAGACAAATCTTCTTTTGTATCCCCAACAATGCCTAACACAGTTATTTTGCAAGTAAAAGACACTCTAAATATACCTGTTTTATTAACACTATAAATGAGAACTTGAAAGCAAAACTCTCAGTAGATAGAATTGTGATTGTCTTCTCCGTATATTCTTTTCCTAATAAGCCAACCTTCTAACCATCTCTTACCATTAAGACTGGGAGAAAAGGTTCTTTTTTTTAATTTCCAAACAATTTTCCAATTTAGAATTATTTCAAAGAAAAAAAAACTTCTTCCGTAGAAATAGCTAGTATCATTTCTATATTCTCACATTACTCTAGGTATTTAAGTAAGTTTTTCTCATTCACTGATGTGGCTATTAACAAAACAAAACAAAACAAAACAAAATTTCACCAGCATATATCAGTTATTTAGATAACTCCTCTTTTGCCATGAAGTAGGTCATAGAAAATATTATATAAAGAGATGACTGCTAGATGGCTATATTACAGCCAAATTCTTTCCATATTATTACTGGTACAATACAATTAAAAACTATTCATCTGTATTTCATGATGATTATTTAGAGTTTCACCATATAAATTTAAATTATCATAATTAGATTATTTAACTGTGCAAAAAAAATCTTTTTTAACATCTGTAAAATCTGATCTGATTGAATGGATTTTAATCAAGAATTGGCACACATCCTAAAGACCATGGTACTACAGAAAATTTAGGAATCTTGGGGGAATGAAGTCAATCTCTTTTTACTGGTGTGGCCTTGGCCTCATTTAAGCTCTCTGAGCATTGGTTTCCTTCTCTGTAAAATTAGGGCATTGATTTTGATGAGTTCAGTGATCCCCTGATCATATGATATTGAGCAAGCCATTTCTAATATGTGAAAGAGGGTCTTTTAAAAATGTCAGTCAACATGATAGAAAATGCAATCCGAATGCAGAGAAAGAACTATGGAGTCTGAATGCAAATCAAAGCATACTATTTTTCCTTCTTTTGGGGGGTGAGTTCTTTCTCATGGCTTTTCCTTTTGGTTCTAATTCTCAACTAACGTGGAAATATTTAACATGATTTTACATGTATGTCTTATATCAGATCGCTCACCATCTTAGGGAGAGGGGAAGGAGGAGAAGGAAATTTAAAACTCAAAGTCTCATAAAAGTGAATGTTGAAAACTAAAAATAAATAAATAAATATTTTAAGATGTTAGTCAACATAGTCATTGGAAAAGCAGAGCTGTTACACTCTTCAAGAACATAAAGTAGGCACTTACATATTATTTGTTGAGTGAAAGTGAGGTGGGGGGGATTGATCATTTTTAACATGATGAAAGCTCAAAGGAAAAGTCCACTTGTTGGATTCCCAAGGAAATTCATCTATCTGGCTTGGACAAATAACCACCAAGGTCTCCTCCAATGCCAGAATTCTATGTTTTCCTATTAGTCTACATTAGCACTCAAGGGGAGGTCATATTCTAAGAATGAACTACAAATATTGAACAGTGAAACTCTTCTGGGTACATATTTGGGCTTCTGTGATCATTGACAGTATCTTTCTCTCATTTTCCCATGCATTCTTTGCTTTTTAAATGCTTTCTGCTTGTATAATCACCAGATGAGCTCAGTGTTTCAATCCTTGTTCCATGAAGAGGACAATATTTCCTCTGTATTATGTGCTGTAAGAAACAGCTATTCTCAGGCTTGTGGATTTAATTTGCTTGGACCATTTAATACTGTATTTGTATAGGCAGCTGTTTCTGAGTTTAAAGAGAACATCTGGATCACAGACTACCATCTGGGTCATAGCCTGCAATCTTCCAGAAACTGTTTTACTTAAGAACTTCTACTGAGGGAAGTAATATGATCTGGTACATTATGGCAAGTAAGATCAATAGTTCAGGCCTGTGTGTGTGAGCAGAAATGATCTAGACTGTGCCAACTTCTTGCCATTGCTGTAATTGATAACACTGATGTAACCCTTGGATTGACAATCTTCTGGATAGAAGACTTTCAGTCCTTTCCACCAAGTTATATTCATGATACATTTCACACATTACTGTGAAAGGGCAATCAGATCAATAAGAGTCTTTCAGAGGCATAACACAAAGGTCTGAGAGGTGAGGTGGAGGCTGTAAATCAGAAATAAACTGATTTTGTTTTTAATCCATAGTTTTGAGGGACCAGATGAGGCAAGTAATTGCCACTACAATTAGAAAGGAAGAGTGTAACCACACATACCAAACTGTGAAGACAAATGTAGTTAACTATGCACAATTAAAAATAAATTGACTTTAATTTGTTTATTTAACTATTTATGAATTCTAATTTTATATAAATAGTGATAAGGTGGCATGACTATTTTAACTCCTCTCAGAAAGAGTGGTGTCCAAAATTGTGGCTTTCATTCTTTTTTGACATTGACAAAGGGAGCAGATATTAAACAGAGGGTTCAATGAAAATAAGAAAATAATCATTAAGGAAACTGACCTTAAAAAAGGCAAACCATTTGTAGTCATTTAACACAATCTCAAAACCTTGATTGTAAATGATCGTGAAGAAACCAGAATTGCCGAATTCATCAGTTGCCACATCTAACTTCTGCAGGTGTACTACCACTTTCTTTCTTGGTGGCCCTGGGGACAAGAAATGGCAAAGAAAAATTAGGCATTGAAGAGACAGTAACAATTCTTCTCATTCATTTTTCTCCATCTTAATCAAGCTGCTTTCTTCTCATGCACCAGATTTTTGCTCTTTTCATCCTCCTCTGTTGAAAATATAAGATGAGCATCATTTTTGGCCAAGTCCTCTGAAATACAATCTTTCAACTGTATGGTTACTTGCCCTGTGGAAAACCCTATGCTCTTAAGAATGAGGGTTAGTGAGAATTTTCTTTAGGAGATCAAGTGACTTGTCTAACATCACAAAGTTAGAAAGTATTTCAGCCAAAACTCGAACATAAGTTTTCTGCCTCTATCCAGTATACCAGCTCAAACAGTGAAGAAAGTGAGAGGTAGAAAAATATGAAGAGACATAGAGGGAAAGACAACAAAGTAGACAACAATGAAGCTAAAAAAGTCAGGCCCTAGAGAGATAACAACAGGAAAGGAAATCGGTGGCACAGTGGCAGGAAGACCTGAGTTCAGATTTGGCCTCAGATGCTTATTACTTGTGTGATATTGGACTTAACTGCTTAAAAGTGCTTATAAAAAGTGCTTATAAGCACTTAACTGCTCTCTGCCTCAGTTTCCTCAACTGTAAAATAGGGATAATAACATCCTCTAACTCACTGGGTTGTTCAGGGGAAAATAAGATTATTTTTAAAGTGTTTAGCACAGGGTCTGGACACACAGTAGGTGCTTAATAAATGTGTGTTCCCTTTCCCCTTCCCTTATGCTCACCTAAATTCATAAAATGGATATTTCTGAAACATTTCTTTTCTGCAGGATTTAACTACACTAATTGTACCAAAACATGGTGAACATTTTCTTCTGCAATATTTCTTTGGGGTCATGATGATGTGTTCTTGGAGGTTTCTTTAGCTATTGAATACTTAAAGCACCACTATTTTTGTTTTGTTACTTTACTTCTAAAGAGTTGTGATTTCCTCCATGAGGGTCCCCTCTATACCCAACCAGCCTCTGCCACCAAACACATGCTGATCATAAATGTTCCATACATTGGTAGACCAGAGGTCATAGACCCAGAACTAGAAGAACCTTCAGCAGCCATCTCATCCAAACTCCCCATTTTACAGATATGAAATTTTGCAGAGATGAGGCTTGGAGAGATTAAATGATTTGCCCAGAGTCAAACAACTAGGGCACACATGAGGCAGGTTGAGAACCCAAACTTTCTTTACTCCAATTCTAGCACTCTACTGCTTCTTGCTAATTTTTATGAGTTGTATTAGCTATGAAAATTTCATCCCCTAGGGATCAGTCTTTTAGTGATAAGCTTCAGAACTTAAGTTGGTCCTCAGACAATAGCTTATCATGAGGTCCCAACTCTCAAGCCTTTCCAGTTTAATAGTATCTGCTAGAATTTAGGCTCCTTGGCAGACAGATCTTTTGAGAATCACAGACATGTCCCTACTCTAATGAAGCATTAGAGGATGACTTAAGCATCTCTAACATAAAAACCTATTTCCATGCATTGCCTTCATAGAGTTTGGGTTGTATCCACATTATGGGGCTTGAGTTCTACTATGTAAGAGATAGGACAAATTTAGTGCTCCTATCCAAAGTTGAAAATCATTTTGGCCAGTTAGCCTCCAGCCTTAACTTTTCACCAGTTACATACTTCCCATAAGTGAAAATGGACCAAAGCTTCTGTAATGCTTCTACAATCTGGAATTCTACACTTAAGTGATTCTAAAGTACGTAAAAAGCCAGTACTTGCTCTCAAGGAACTCACAGTGTAATGGCAGGTTGTATTCATAGATTAAGGAGAGCTGGAAGGACCTATGAGGACATCTAGTCCAATGCTCTCTTTTTTTGGGGGGGGGGGTAAGGGGAAATAGTATTTTTAAAGGTGATTGAGAAGTGAAAAGGTTAAGTGACTTGCCCAAAGTCATAGGTAGTAAAAGGTAGGGTCAGAATTTGAATCCAGGTCTCATAACTCCAAATCCAGTATGCTTTCCACTCTAACAGGCTGCATGGCCTTGTAGAAAACAAGGCATTAGAAAATTCCATTAACAAGTCAGATTGGGTTATGTTATTTTGTACTATAAGGACAGTAAGGGTTTTGTTTTTTTTTAACTTAAAAAGTTTTCCTTACTCTGTCTAAAGAAATAGTCTCTACCAAAAGTTATGCCCTGAAACAGGAGCAGTAGTCCTGCAGTATATTTAAATATATACTTTTTTTGGAAATTCCACAACTGCCAGCTTCCTCATTTTCATCTCCCTCTCTCCCAACATAATATGGAAAAGTTCCCATTGCTGTGTCCTAAAGTATCTTCTAGCTCATTTCTTTTCCCAGGCAAACTCATAACAGACCACACTGCCAAAGGGAAGTAGCCACTAATCTTTAACTTTATGAAACTACCTAAACTAGTATCAAAAAGCCACACTCCAAATTCCCAGGTTCTGTCCCCAAAATCTTAGGTCTCAGTGGAAAATGGAAAAGGGAGAAGGAAAAAAAAATAGCTAGCTCTAGGTGACTGTAATCTGCTAGCCTAAAGAGTGAAATTAATGAAGAACATGCATTTAGATCAGAAGAAGATGCCTTTAGAATTAGATTTACATGATATTACACCAAATACCTAAGTACTGTTCCCCATTAGATTGGAAGCCCCTAGAAGACAAAGATTTTTCTTCGTTGTTGTTGTCGTTGTTGTTTTGAGGTGTTTTTATTTGTGTTTGTTTTTCGAAGTTTCTTTGAATCCACAACTCTCAGCACACAGCCTAGTATATAACAGGCTCTTAATAAATGCTTGTTGACTGACAACAAGTAAGCAATTTCACAGAGGATCTTTCAGGGCCCGAAAGGTCAAAAAACATTTTTAAAAACAAAGTTCATCAGCAATATCATAAGATGATCAGCTGTGAATGACTTAGTAATACAATAATCCAAGACAACTCCGAAGGACTTATGATGAAAAATGCTATCCAACTCCAGAGAAAGAACTGATGGTGTCTGAACAGATTAAAGCCTACTTTTTTTAAAAACTTTTTTCTTGGGTTTTTTTTTGGGGGGGGGTTACGTTTTCTTTCACAACGTGACCATTATGGAAATGTTTTGCATGACTGCACGTGTATAACCTATATCAAATTGCTTGCCTTCTCTGTGAGCGGATGGGGTAGGGAAAGAGGAAGGGAGAGAATTTAGAACTCAAAGTTTTTTAAAACGAATGTTAAAAATTGTTTTTACATGTAACTGGGGGAAAAAATACTAAATAAATTTAAACCAAAAAAAAAAAAATGAAGTTCATAACTGCTGAAGTTTCCCCACTTCGACCTGAGGCATGAGGTCCTCAAGTCAGGGGCACGAGGGGCTCAATCTTGGATTAGTGAGAAGAGGGGACAAGATGGAGGGAGTATCCCAGGGCATTTCAGCGTAAGCTCTAAATAAACTCACCTTAGTTGAACTGAAAGGAAGAAAAATGAAAGAAATAGTGAGGGGGGGGCAAGGGAAGGGAAAGAGCCTCACTACCTGCCAAGAGTGGAAAAAGACATTCTCATATAAAAGAAAAGGAAGGAGGTGGTACAAGACGCTTACCCAACACTGAGCAGTTGATGCGGTTGTCCTGAAACCCCTGCCCCTCGGACACCTGGAAAACCCAGGTACCCTGCAGATCGGAGTAAGTGCAATTGGCGGGAGTGTCGGAGGAGGCAAACCGGACCAGAGAGAGGACGAAGAGGAGACCCGGCAGCCGCGAACAGCCCCACAGCCCCATCCCTACCAGCAGGCAAGCAGCGCGGCGTGCCGGCTGCGGCGGAAGGTGCTCAGAGGGAGCGCAACCCAGCACCCTCCGAATAGGCAGGCGCAAGGCCCCCGGTGTGAGGGATTTAAAGCTCAGCAGTTTTAGGGGGCCGGAAAAGAGGAGGCCCCCGAGGGATCACGCGGTGGGGGCGAGATAGGGGAGGGGGAAAGGGGAACCGTCACGTGAGCACCGCCTCCTCACCCACCCCCATTCCTCCTGTCCTAGGGCCCGCCCCTTTCAAAGTTTGGGGACTAGGGTTGGCTCTGTGACGGGAAGGGCCCGAGTCCGGCCAGTGTGTCGCTCTAGCGCCTCTGCTGTGGGGCTGCCTCTGGACACGAGACGGAGGCGGACGGAACGGGACCCACTGGACCGGGCTCCCTGCGGACCAGCGACAAGAGGGGCTACTGCCTGAGGAAGGGCTTGCAAAAGATCCCACGCTTCGGAGCCAAGGAATTCTGAACACCCGCAGACTCAAGTTTCTAGTGCTCAGTCACAAGGAAGCTGTTGGTGTGACCTTCTGCTGGGTCAGAACCCCGGGATGACGTGTACTGAGAAAGTCAGCTCTCCAGCTGCTTATCCGGACCTAGGCTGGCCTCTGAGTAAGGGGCCTAGGTCGAAAAAACAAAAACAAAAAAAACCAGACAAAACTTTACTTAACAATATCTCAGAAAAGGTACAGGGAATACTATACTGTTCTTGGTCAGAGGTGCTATTCCCCCCATCTTGGTTTCTTTTTTTTTTTCCTTTTTCTAATTTTCGGGACTTTGCCTTTCTAGCGTCTTACTTCATTGTCCAGTTGATTTCTTTGGACTCCTAATTAATTTGCCCTCTCCAGGAAGTCTTTCCCAAAGACTTTCAGCTCCCCGCCCTCTCCGCCGCTCAGTACTTTGCATCTCTTTAATGCACTTAATCTTATACTGTTCTGTATTTTGGTTAATTGTGTCTCAGACGCCTAACACTTACTAGTTGTGTGACCCCGGGCAAGTCACTTAACCCCGATTGCCTCACAAAAAAAAAAAAAAACCAAAAAAGCAAAAAATAATAGTTATAAATGAGCCTTATCTGTCTGCCACACTATAAGCTCCATAAAGGCCAGCGAGTGAATTATTTAGACTGAGTTTTCCCCAGTACCTAGCACACTGCTCTGCACACAAAACCTACTTAATAAATTTTTTTTTATGATTATTTTTGAAGTGCTTTCCCTCTGGATATTCACCTGTATGTGAAAGGGAGAATTTGTATTTCTGATTTCTACCACGCTAAAATACATCTTAAACCTTGGACACCTTGGATGAATAGGTGGTGTTGACCTAGGCTGGATGGCCGCAGTTACAGTGTGGGTTATAGATGGTTGCTGAAGTTACTTCCACCTCTGAGATTCTCTGATTCTTCTGGATAAGCTAATTTCTTTTGTTTGCTTGTTTGTTTGTTTATTTAACCTCCTGGAAGTTAGTCTTTTCTCTTCTCTTTCACTGTCTTCCCTAAATCTGGATATAGAATTTAACTTGGAAATCAATGAGTAGCTGCACTTATATCCTTGAATAAACAAGAGAGGCAAGGGGGTAACCAGGACTTTATTTCAGTTCTTGTTACCTTTCTTAACTTTAGCATACCTGAAATTTGAAGGAGAGGTAAGATACTTAACAATAGTGATACTATATACAAATATAAACTTAAATTGTAGCAGTATCTCCAAGAACCAACGGAAGAATTCTTCGGTTAGTTGATAAGCCTTTGACACATGCTATTCCTGTTTGACAGTTGACTCTCAGGGTTTTACAACAACTTCTTCAATCTAAGCACACTATCAATTATAGAAAATTGGCCTTCAATTTCTTCGTGGTAAAATAAAGGGCACAATTGAAAAGGATCTAGGCTCAAATCTGGTCTCTGATGCTTACTACCTATGTGACTTTGAGCATATTGCCCATGATCCCTAAAATGATTACCTAAGTCCCCTTTGCACTCTAGATCTATGAACCTTAAGAAACCTTCTAGACTTTTATGTTACAAAAGCATGGTAGTGATCTGCTTAAATTGAGGGAATTCCCATACAGAACCTACAAGACTGATTTAGTTGGTCATTTTGCTTTTCAGTAGTGTCTAACTCTTTATAAACCCTATTTAGGGTTTTCTTGGCAAAAATACTGGAGTGGTTTTGCCATTTCCTTCTCTAGCTCATTTTACAGTTGAGGGACTGAGGCAAACAGGGTTAAATGACTTGCCCAGGTTCACACAGCTAGTAAGTGTCTGAGGCCAGTTTGGAACTCAGAAAGATGAGTCTGTTGACTCCAGGCCTGGAACTCTATCCACTGCACTACCCTGCTACCCTACAAGACTAATACTGAAACTAAAAGGGAGAAAATAAACAAACAAAACAAATAACATTTGTGTTGTCTGACGCTTCTAGCAAACAAAGGACAGAGCTAGCTTGAGGTTTGTGAAAGATTATAAAAATTATTATAAAAATGTTTCCCTTAATAACTTTGTTAAGTAGGCAGTAACTATATCATTGACCTCCATTTTATAGATGAGGAGACTAAAGCTACCTGATTTTCATGAACTCATACAGATGAAAAATGCTTGAACTAGAATTCAGACTCAGATCCCCCACTTTATATTCACATATGGATCAGACTTTGTTGTCTTTGAGTTCCCTGCCAGCTCTGATGTTCTGCATTCTGGTACTAAGTTGAGTACTCTTTCTACCATACACTATACTATCTCTGCTATCAGAAACTATTCCTCTCATTGCAAGAAGTTTTCACATATACTAGGGTTTTCAGAGGAAAGAATAAGGAAGCATTTTTCTGCAGTTTACATCTTGAAAAAATAAGCTGCAATGTTCCCTTTTGTCTCAGGGAGTTACTCAACAACTTAGTTCATATTAGCATCAAGGACCTTCCCCATGAGTACCCTTTCAGTGGAAGACAAGTAGCAGCCTTTATCAAGGGAACTAGGACCTCAATTTTCTCTGCACAAAAGCTGGTTTGATAAGCATTAAAAAGTTATTCCCAACCATTCACATAATTTACTGTGAAAACACCTAGAAAAAAATGTGACTAACTTGAATTTCCCCAACACTTTTATTGGCACAGTAGGATCTGGGAATTTAAGTGAGTACACCAAAGGTGCTTTCCCACGAATTATTTTTAACAGATGTTAAGGATTAAGTAAGAATGCTGTATATTTGGCAACTTGATCTGATGTATCATTAAGTATTGAGCAATAGCAGGACCAACCCCCCTTTCATCATCTGTGTAACATTGTTTTTTTTTCTTTATTTCTTTTCATCTTATTTTATATTCCATCTCTTTCCCTTTATATTTTTTTTTATAAAGGGAAAAAAGATGCAAGCATATCATGTCCTCTGTTTTCTAGGCTCCCACCTGTTGACATCTTACTGATTTTCTCATTTAGAAGAGATTTCTCCCTTAACTTATCTTAGAGCATTCTCATTTCCCCGATACATTCATCACATCCTAGTTTCTATTATTTTTATATGTATCCCTTCTTTATTTCTCTGATTAAACTTTGTTTCATGAAGATGGTAACCATATTTGAGCAACTATATTTATACTCAGGACAATTGGCTTCCAATCTCACTTCTGACAATTATTAGTACTGGAAACCTCAAGTAAGTCATTAACTTTTATGGGCCTCACTTTTCTCCTATCTAGCCCAATCTAGTAAATATTAAGCACCTGCTATGTGCCAGACACTGTGCTAAGCCTTGAGGATACAATTAATAAAAAGAAAGACAGTATCCTACCTCAAGGAACTTACAACCTAATGGGGGAGACAAGACACAAAAGAAAAAATGAGTAAAGGGGGGGAGCCAAGATGACAGAGTAAAATCAGTGACTTGCTTGAGCTCTCCCCCAAACCCTTCCATATACCTGTGAAAAATGGTTCTAAACAAATTCTAGAGCAGCAGACCCTACAAAAAGACAAGAATGAAACATGTTTCCAGCCCAAGACAACCTGGATTATTGATGAGAAAGATCTGTTGCTCTGCTGGAAAAGGAGCACAGTTCAGTGTGGGCCACACAGGCAAAGACCAGGCCTCAGTGAACCTGGAGCAGACCTCAGAGGACTGATTCATGGGGAGCTGTGGTGGTTTCCAGACTTCTCAACCCACAAACGCCAAAGACAACTTAGAAGGTCAGTAGAAAGGTCTGTCAGCCTGGGTGAGAGAGGAGTGCAGTCTGGCCCCAGTCCCAGCTCAGCTCTGGGGCAGCTGCTGCTTCCAGAGCTCCTGGTCCACAGATGGTGGGAGTATCAAGTGGCTGATCAGAGGTGGATTGCAGGGATCTCTTTGCTGGTGCTGAGGCAGGATTTTCTTGCTTTGCCCATGCAGGATCTGCACCCAGGTGCAGTCCTGGGTGGTGAACCTGGGGCAAGAAGGAGCACTGGCTTGGCACAGCTTGTGGCAGCGGTAGAGAGAAAATCCTCCTCACAGTTCCAAGGCAGAAAAGAGTGCTTGTGTTCACTCATAGACCATAGCACAGGCCAGGAAAGGAGTAAACACCTCGCCTTTTATCATATCACTTTGGAAGAACCGAAAATTTATAGATCCCTAGAAGTATCTCTGAAAACAGCTGCACAAAACCCCCGAAGCTTGGGACAGCACATCCTCCACACTGGAAACAAACTCCTACCTTAACAAAGAATTTAGTAGTCAAGTAATTGACTGGGAACATGAGCAAATAGCTAAAAAAAAAAAAACAAAAACAAAAAACCTCAGACTATAGAATCTTACTTGGGTGACAAAGAAGATCAAAACATACAACCAGAAGAAGACAACAAAGTCAAAGCTCCTACATCCAAAGCCTCCAAGGAAATTCTGAATCAGTCCCAGGTCATGGAAGAACTCAAAAAGAATTCTGAGAAGCAAGTAAGAGAAGTAGAGGGAAAACTGGGAAAAGAAATGAGAGTGATGCAAGAAAATCATGAAAAATAAGTCAACAGCTTGCTAAAGGAGACCCAAAAAAATACTGAAGAAAATAGCCTAACCCAAATGGCAAAAGAGGTCCAAAAAGCCAATGAGGAGGAAAATGCCT